CATCATAAGCATCCCATTTAACTGCAGTGATACAGCTTTAAGAATTACCGATGCTAAGATAGGCCCAAAAGTTAAAATTTTTGTGTTTCGCTATGTTTGCTTTGTTTCCTAAATATGGCGCCAGAACTCGTACCCAGGATCTTTGACCTTTTCTCATCTCGGAAACCGGGCTGAAATTTCTCATATGAACCCAAAGCAAAATTCATCCCCGTAACCGAGCCAGCCCGGTCAACCGGGCTCATATGAAGAGGCCCTAACTCAATGTTGTACCCAATTCAAATCTCCCGGGGTTAAGATTCTTTGTGTATTGTATTTGCATCATAATGTGGCATTCTCATTTAAATGTATGGAAATTCCTGAAACAAAAAGTATTATTCCCAAAGGGTTTGAATTGGGTACAGCGTTAGCCGAATAGGTCTATTATATAGCAGTAAATCGATCAATGAATTGGTTTTACATATTAAAAAGTAGGAAGTTTTTTTCAAAAACAATTCAATGTTATTTTGAACTCCGAGTCGCCTTAAACAAAAGAAAATGGCCTTAAAATAGAATAAGCTTCTAAGAAAGCTAACAAAAATGTTTAGAAAATAAAACGCAACAAGAAAAATACGTAATCAGGAAAGCCATTAATAGATCAGAGATCCCCGCATGAGCTAAAATTAACGTTACTGACATCCGATGTATACGTAGTGATGAAAGCATCGACTCAAATTTTAACTGAGTTTAATGTTTTTGCTTCAAGAGTAAACAAAACATGTTAAATTTTCCTCAAATTTTAATCATAGCTATGCATTAAACATAAAACCTTGTTGTTTAGGTTGACAATATGTTTCAGGAAGTTTGCAACAACAAAAGAACTTGATGAAAGAATGGTTGTTTTCCGGGTCCTTTGCCAAACTACTTTTTGTTTCTCATATTGTTTGCCACTCATCCGAAAATGAAATGTAAATTTTAGACCGGAGTAAAAACAGGAAACCGCGCTCATCAAGGATATATATGGACGCAACAAATTAAAAATTGTTGGTTTTGAAAAATGAAGTGAATTCCTTTTAGGGAAATTTTTGCCTCGGTGAGACTATCACAACACACTTCAGTTTTATGTTCTACTTCGTGGGTAATCGCCGAAAAGTTTCGAAGGTACAAATGTACAAATGTACGTTGCAGTATATTGTTTCAAACCGGCTGAAAATTCAACGAAAATGCCTCTTGAGAATTGTTTCTGAACTTCTGTTATAGTAAAAAAATCTTATTGGCTGTTCTTCAAGAAACGCCGCGCATCAGTAGTCAATAAAGTCCACCTCTAAGTTTTTGCGGTATTCTGAAGTAGTTTTCTCAGTGACAGTTGGAACCCGAGAGAACCAAGAAAGTGAACTCTGTGTGTCAGTACTTATCAGTATTTTAAACTACTCAAGAACGGTACACAGTTTCTTTACTAGGGAGTAGTTAAAAGGAATTATCAAACAGTGAAATCAGTAAAAGGGAGAACACCTTGAATGAAGTTGGGCATAGCTGATGCATGCGAACATAATAAGAAACCTTCCGTTGCAAACTTTATGATTAGTTTTTCTGAGAAGAATCATACTTTGTCTAGAACTTTCGATTCTGTTAAATTAAAAAGAAACACCCAATCGACAAATGTATCGAATTTAATCGCTTTTAAATTAGCGTGAGCTACTCTCGTTTTCGGTTTGGGATGTGCTGGAGAAAATCATCGCTAAGAGAACTCCCTTTAAATTCATTTGGCCAAAGCTCCGGTGTAACGGTTACGGCGAACAGATAACATAAACAGATAACATTCTTCATTCAATGATCCCGAGGCTTGTAGTCGTTGGCGTGAACTAAGGCTGTGTAATCAACTCAACAAACAAGCTTACACTGACAAATGGATCGATTTATTCCTTTTTTAAATCCATAAAAGTCCCGCATACATTTCTTTTAGCAAGTATTGTGCACGTTCCATTAGTACACTAAGACCGGTTCAGACGCCGAACTTTTGATGAGCCGAACCCAAGTGATATTGAAATAAGTACAAGAAGAGTTCCGCGTCTGAATCAATTAGGAACGCCTAATTCAATTTGAACGAATCATCCGTTTTTCCCACCTAGCCCCGCCGGGAACTTCGACTGTGGAACGACTTTGGAACGGCTTTGATTTACACGCCGAACTTTTCATGTTCCTAACCTAATGCGTAAACTATAATGACGTATTTTGCAAGCTTGCTTATTTCGAGCGAACTCGAACTCCATTAACTAGCTTCATCCATTCCTTCCGGTTTTCCATGATGTTCTTCAGTTCAGCTATGCTCAAACCAGTATCATTTTGCAGCTGGTCTACGTATGTTAATGCTGGTCTTCCTCTCTTTCTTGCGCCGTGCTTTGGTTCCCAGAGTAGTAAATCACTTATCACCTCATCCTTTTTTCTCCAACAGTGTCCTATAAACCGCAGCCTCCTGATCATCAGTGTATCTGTAATCTTAGGAAGATTGCCGTACANAAATGTCTCTTGAGAATTGTTTCTGAACTTCTGTTATAGTAAAAAAATCTTATTGGCTGTTCTTCAAGAAACGCCGCGCATCAGTAGTCAATAAAGTCCACCTCTAAGTTTTTGCGGTATTCTGAAGTAGTTTTCTCAGCGACAGTTGGAACGCGAGAGAACCAAGAAAGTGAACTCTGTGTGTCAGTACTTATCAGTATTTTAAACGTCGGTTTTCTTAAACTACTCAAGAACGGTACACAGTTTCTTTACTAGGGAGTAGTTAAAAGGAATTATCAAACAGTGAAATAAAGGAGAAAACACCTTGAATGAAGTTGGACATAGCTGATGTAAGCGAACATATAAGAAACCTTCCTTTGCAAATTTTATGATTAGTTTTTCTGAGAAGAATCATACTTTGTTTAGAACTTTCGATGCTGTTAAATTAAAAAGAAACACCCAATCGACAAATGTCGAATTTAAACGCTTTTAAATTTCCGTGAGCTACTCTCGTTTTCGGTTTGGGATGTGCTTGACAAAATCATCACTAAGAGAACTCTCTTTAAATTCATTTGGCCAAAGCTCCGGCGTAATGGTTACGGCGAACAGATAACATAAACAGATAACATTCTTCATTCAATGATCCCGAGTCTTGTCGTCGTTGGTGTGAACTAAGGCTGTGTAATCAACTCAACAAACAAGCTTACACTGACAAATGGATCGATTTATTCCTTTTTTAAATCCATAAAAGTCCCGCATACATTTCTTTCAGCAAGAATTTTGCACGTTCCAGTGATATGCAAAGGCCGGTTCAGACGCCGAACTTTTCATGAACCTAACATATTGAACTAAGTACATGAAGAGTTCGGCGTCTGAATCAGTTAGGAACGCCTGGGAACGCCTAATTCAATTTGGAACGAATCATCCGTTTTTCCCGCCTAGCCCCGCCGGGAAGTTCGACTGTGGAACGAATTCGGAACGGCTTTGATTCACACGCCGGACTTTTCATGTTCCAAACGTAAATTATAATGACGTAAAATGACCATTTTTCTCCTTTTGAATTCAGTTCGGCTGGAATTAGGATCGGCGTCTGAATCAATTCAACCGGTCTATTAAAATAGTTTGGGTCGGCCTTTGTTCGAATTAGGATCGGCTCGGCGTCTGAAGCATCCCGCCGTCTAGGTACGCGGGAAACTCCACCCCTGGCTGGCCCGCATGAGGCCCCGTATGGTCAGCGGGATCTGTCTGCTTGGAAACTTACATCAGGTTTGCGCAAAACCTAAGAAAACCCCCTTACGGTTAATTCGCAATTTACGCACTCAATCAATATCATAGGAAAATGCAGCTACCGTATTTATTCGAATAAGCGCCCAACCTCGAATTAGCGCCCACCTCGAATAAGCGCCCATCCTAAAGGCCGAAAAAGTTAATAAGCGCCCAGCCTCGAATAAGCGCCCACCTCGAATAAGCGCCCACTCTCAAGGTCCAAAAGTTTAATAAGCTCCCAGGGCGGTTAATCGAATAAATAAGGTATTCCCTGCGGTTTATGGAAACAATCTAAATACCCGCTTTGAAAGTGCTGGTCAAGGTAGCTTTGGCTCCTGGCGTCGTAATGTTCTAACTTTTCAGAGTTCAGTCTAAAAGAATAAAAGAAAGACCATTTTAAATAAATAATGCATCGTCATTTTTTAAAGACAAGTTTCTCTTTTTTCATTCTTGAGGTAATTTGTAGGGTAGTTTACGTCACCCCTGGAATCAGTGGATGGCGTGAAATAAAATCGGCGGAACTTCCCTGCTCCAGACAAGCAAAAATTCGTTCGGCAGCTAACATTAAAATTTCTCTCTAAGACTAGTTTTAAGGTTTTTCAGTTTATCATAATCAGCCAGATGATGGTCATCGTCATCGATCACGGAAATCACGATCACGAAGGCTGCCTTGAGTTCTCAGTACTCCTTTGTAGAGGCAACGACAGTCATCCTGAGTGGTAAAGGATTTTCTCCATTTGTTTTCTATTTCAATGGTAAAACCCTTGTGGAAGACGCGAGCGGATAAGGACCCGCGCACGTGGTTTTCTTTTCAAATATTTTAAAAACCGAACTCCAGCTTTGGCGCCTGAAGACGAGCTGGCCTCAGCCACAAAAATGTCCCAAGAAGCCTTCCGAGGAAACAGTCGACGAGAGGCTTTTGTTTGAGGTTGGAGAGGCCTATATGGCTACCGAGAATACGATATCTTGCAGCTGCAACAACTAATTCAGTTTTGAAAAATAAACTTTATGATAGGCTAGCTTGGGCCCTTAATTTTCCTAGTGAATGGAATGAAGAAACGAGGTCAGTGTGGGGACTTGGTTCTAGTCACGAAACAAGGCTTGGTCACATAGTCAACTAAGTCTGAAAATTGGTTTTAAAGTATGGCGACGTGGCATTGATTTTGAGACAATTTTGACGGGAAATTCATTCGCAATCTGGCTTCTGAACGACAAATGTGGTCAATTTATTGAAGGGGAAGAACCATGGGATTGTGTAAATGTCCTAAGAAGAAGGTTACTACACAGTTTTGCTTCGAACATCGCGTTAACGTCTGCGAACATTGTCTGGTTTCAAATCACCCTAAAGTAAGCTATCTAAGCTTTGTGTTTTTAATGTTATGCGATGTTTATTTTACAGGTCTTTTATCCACTATCAGTCGTAATAGTTGCACTTGGAATGATATGCTATGTAATAGATTTTATGCTCGTCATGATGCATTTTAATGTTACAATCATGATACAATCCATGTATAACGACTGATAAACATGCAAAGACCAGGAAGAAGACTGCGGACTGCAGACTGCAGACCAGGTGTAAAATGCAGTCTGAGTGTAAAATGAAGACTGCAGTCTGAGAGTAAAACGCAGGCTGGGTGCAAAATGCAGAACAAGACGCCTAGAGTCGTTTCCGTGGGATGCGTTGGTCTATGGAAGCATAATGGCGTTCTATCTGAATTTGGAAAAATTAGGGAAACCGGAAAGATGTGTCATGTTATGAGCATCAATGAGTAGGTTACCTGTATGGGTTGGTTTAATGTGCTTATGACTGAATTTATAGTAGCCTGCGTGGCAGGCTACTATTAATTTTCTCCCCAATCCACATCCCCTTTTTGCTTCCTCCCTATCCCCTACCCCTTTCGTCACCTGCTACGCAAGCTAAATTTATAGTTGTCAGTGGTCGCAAGGATGGAGTTGATCTTGTTTTGATCTATCGCTATGTAGTTATTTTCGTAGCACGATTTGGATAAGAAAAAGAAGTTATTTTGCATCAAAAAAAGCTTTACCCGTGTAACTTAAATTGAAATGTTAACGGAAACAGGTAATGGAGAACATGCACATAATGCTCTCTGATTAACCTGAACAGGAACTATATGTATAAAGATATGTCATATCTTGGTAGTAAGTTGCCGCAGGTAAATTTTTCAAAGAGAAATAAATATTGTAGTTTTAGGTTAATGGAACAAAACAAAACAAAACATCCGCTTGCTTTATCCAGGGTCGAACCCAGGGTTACAAAGTTCAATAAAGTTCCAATGTTTTAATCCAAGAAGAAAGTTTAATATTCCAAGATGCTCTTGATACGGTTAAAAGTTAATTGCAATGGGTTTCCAAGGTCTCAAAGTTAACATAGTTCCAATGATTATCCCTGATTCCAAGGTATAATAAGTTTACTAAGATCCTGATCCGTGTCCCATCCAGAAGTCCAATCCATGCCGAAAGCGAGTTGTCGATCAACGAGGACAACTTTTTCGCGCTTTCACCGCCAATCGTCAAGGGTACGAGTTGAAATTTATGCGATTTAACCTCCCATCGTCAAGGTGTTTTCAATAAAATAAGAAAAAAACTGAACTCTAGCTGTGCTCGGCAAAAACTGGCAAACTCCGAATAGAAAAATCTATCGGAAATCACGGCCCGCAACCAGACGCTACTAAAACCTTATGAAAAAGCTAGACCTAAACAAAAAAGAATCATGAAGCGAAGAAATAATTTGGCTTAGGAAGCCTTTTGTGACTTACCAGTATCCCGAAGGATTTCACTGGTTAACAAGCCATCCTTAACCATGAGTGGGAAAACTCAAGGGCGACAAATTTGGCAAGGAACGTTCTGATTTCAATGTTCTTCAGAGAAAACAAATCGATTAAAAATCGATATAGATTTTGTACAATCTGATTGGTCAGCTTGGAAGGAGAAATAATCGATAAAGATTTTACGCAATCCTATTGGCTGGTTTTGCAATTTTGGGTACAACCGAACCGGATTTTTACCATGGGAGTGCCACAGGCATCCCACGGAATAAGGACTGCTGACTTGGGGTAAAATACAGACCAAACATAAACTGTAGTCGCGATGGGTTTAAGGGCAAAATAAATACTGCAAATACATGCAAACGATCACTTACTTGCTTGTGATGTGCTTTCACAAATCCATTCCTTTGTTCTCTGGAAGGTCATCGATGACCCGAAAACATAATTGCAGTCTTCAACCTTTTTTCTGTCCTAGAGACCTCACGCTTCAACTTAAAAAATGAAGTTTTCAATACATGTGACCATGAATAATTGGCACAACACTAGGGTATTTATGCTTAAATAGCTGCTGACCCAAAATACTGACCCGAAGGAATAATGGCGATAAAAAAGGGAGTAAATCATTCCAACAACAAAGAAAGATGTTCTGCAGTAAATTTGGATGATCTTCTTTGAAAGTATTGCAAATCAAGGTACGCAGACTTCAGCTGTTCGGACATTAAATTTTATTGAAACTTCTGATGAACGTGCAATTTACTGCGACTAGAAAGCGAGGTGTGTAAATGATACCAGGTAGCCATTTGGAGAAGAAGCAGCACAAAATAATGTTTAAAAAGTCTGCAGTCCGCAGTCTGCGTTTTACCCTTGGTCCGCAGTCTGTGTTTTACACTGATCATCTTAATTTATGAGATATCTACAGTTTTGATTCAATCTCCGTGCAAGCAGAGCCTACTTTTGTCTTCTTTTTAATTGGTCTGAACTTCTGAACTAGTCAACCTGTTTCTTTTGGCCAGACTGCTTTTTTGTGTGCTAACATCTGTTTAAACACATGCATTTCATAAAGTACAGTCGACTCCCGGTAACTCAAACCCTCTATAACTCGAACCTCCCATTACCTCGAAGTAATTTTCAATCCTCTTCTGATCGTTTTCCATACAATTTTACCCTCGATAACTCGAATTCCCGATAACTTGAACTTTTTTCTATTTCCCTTGAGGGTTCGAATTATCAGAAGTCGAGTGTATTATCTTCAAGACACTCATCTATCAAGAGGAAATGCTTGTCTTGCAAGAAAAGAGACTAGATTAGTAACTTACTCCTGGGCAATATTGCACAGGATAAAGGCACATGTACATGTAGATACTGGAGTAAAAATATTAACTTTAGCCTGGTTTGAAGGTGAAATGCAACAAGGGACTCTGTATATTTATTTCTTGTGTTTTTTCCCTAGTGCATAGTTAAGTCCTATCTACACTGGCTTCAAGACAGTGATTACAATCCTGTATGTACTCTTTGTAATGGCAGTTTAGCAGAAGGAGATGTCGTTAGATTAATTTGTTTTGGTAAGGCCATACATTTTACTTACATGTAGATTGAGGTTGATGTTGTTCTAATTCCAAGACATTTGTAATTTTAGGACCCTTTTGCTTGAACACTGGTTATAATTGCTAACCAAGGGTTAAAATTTGAACCCAATTTGAATAGTAATCATTTTTAACATTCCACTGCTCAAGCAAACATTAATGTTATGAGCAAAAGATAACTTTGGAAAATTAATGAACATCAAGTAAAAAACTGATCATTAGATAAAATAATTCTCATCATCAGTACTGTAGGTAATGCACGGAGGACATTGGAAAGAATATGCATACTGATACTAGAATTCAAAGGGTTAAGGACAGCCTCTAGATGTTACTTAAGGTGTCCATACCTTCATCTCTGAGGAAAGACTCAATGACATTTCATAACCTTTAGTTATTTGTTTCTAGGTATGAAAATTATTGTTTATGGGACAGTAAAAATAATAGTGTTCCATCATCCCCTGTTATACAATGTACTGTGTTTAAAAGCTGAACACTAGTGCGCCAGTATCTAGTTTACGTACATTAGAGCGGTTTTCATTTGAGTGTCGAAAAGTAATTGGTTTTGCACTTTCTACACGATGCGATTGGCTTAAAAGATTCGCGCCACCTTTTCATCCAATCAGAAGTAAAACCAAAGCCAATTGTGACGCGCTCGCATGCATTTTCCCGCGCTTTGCGTCAGCCACATGTAATTACTTCGAGTTTTGATTGGTTCAATGTATTGTCTGTGTCCTATGTGATTGGCCAGAGTAATTACTTTGGTTTTGGTTTTACGACACTCAAACGAAAACCACTCTAGCCTGAATTCCATTTTTTCTTCCTTAATATAGATGTGTTTCACTGGGGATGCCTGAACAGTTATGCTTCAAGTCTTCCCACAAACACAGCCCCAGCTGGATATACTTGCCCCAACTGTAAGGTGAGTTTATAGGTTGAATATCCCCGGGCACTAGAGTTTATTCTTTGGTTTATCATGTAAACATCATGAGTATGAGCATTCACCAACAACAGTGAATCTCAATGAGCCAGTGACTGAATAAAATGATTAAGACTACTGTCAGGCCACCCTTTCTCATACTCCTGCCATTAGGTTACAGTCAAACCTCCCCGGAGCAACCGTTAATACTTAACATCTACAGTGTAGGGTGTATTTTGTATAGGTGATCTCTTATGATGAGAGTTCAATGGTTACTTTGGGAGATTTGACCACAGCATTTTAATTGTCTAGATCATTAATTTTTTTTTTCATTTTAGTCCAGCAAGTTAATCTCACTGTTTAAAGAAGATAACAAAAAGATATAAACATAAATAGTTCATATTGCATGTCACTTTTTCCACATATAATTTGATAATTCCCACTGTTATAAGTCTAATATGGTTATATTTTTTATTATCTTTTCTTTATCAGGCAGCAGTATTTCCTCCTGAAAATCAAGTCTCCCCTGTTGCTGATCAGCTGAGAAAAGTGTTGTCTACTGCACCTTGGGCTCGGGTTGGACTTGGGCTTCCTGTGGTCAGTGTCTAATGCAAACATGCTCTATGGACTGTGAATAGAGTTGTGATGTGTCGTACATTTACCTACAGTAGTCCATGCAATTAGATTGGGAAGTTTAAACACCTTACAATTTCTGAAGACAAGCTCTGGACTCATATTTTTCAAAAGGCCTTTTTGATGGCCTTACCATGTATGTGAGAGCTTACATGTATTGTAGGAGGGCATTTTTGTCAGCAGACATTTAAAGTGCGCACAGGCTTCATAGTGAATGATGGATTTGTGAAAGATATGGTGCAACTTTTAAGTCTGAAGACAAATTCCTACAATGTGACCATTTAAATGAAACCTCTTTTTACAGTCCTTTCACTTGTTACTTACTTGTTCTTCAGCATTAATAATAATAACAAAGTGAAATTTGACATTTTGAGAGTTTTGACATTGTATAGGGTGGGGGGAGGGAGACCTGACAGATATAATTTGAAAAAGTTGCCCTGTTTTATGAGGGCACCCAGACATAACAAGAAATTATGATTATACTGCATCACTGTCCCAAGGACTTTTGCCCAGGATTGTAGCTTAATACTTGCTTGAAGATAATGGTAAATGTCTTGAAGAAAATAAGCTTTGAAACAGATTCATTATTATCGATTCTTTTTTACACTTGATCAGGTGCCAGCTGCTAGTACCAACAGTGCAACTGTAACAGAAAGCAGACTAACAAGACATGATGCTGATATTGGTATGTACAGTTGGATGACACATTGTAGTTGATAGCATTTCTGCCAGCAAGTTTCTTAATTTTACATATAGATGTTATTGTGGGTGACCAGAGGACCCCCAGGGCTGGACAAACTTCATTTCAAGACAGGGCTTCAGAAAAAATACCGTATTCCAACTCGACCCTCAGACAAGCATCAACTGTTGGACAGTTTTGCAATTTTTTTCTGTTTCACAATCAGCAAAACAAGTTCCCATAAAAGTAATAAATTACATGTAATCCCAAGAATGAACTCCACAACTGTAAAATCTTGAAAATTATTATCTAATTAAATTTATTTCGATTTTGTTTTGCTTGCATTATTAGTCAACTCTCTCTTAATGTACAGACACCTCTATAAGACAGAGACCCCCACAGCTGTAGAGTTGGTTCCTGCCTTTCTTTACCCCCTTTATTTTACTCTTTATAGGACAGAGATTAGTCTAACCCTGTCCAAAAGGTTTCCTTCGTAGAGAGAGTTGACTATATTATTTTAGTCTCAAATAAACACAACAATTTTGAAGGCAATGTAATTCAAGGCACCTTCATAAAATTCAAGCCACCTTTTGAGATCCTTACAGTTTTTCTGAGAGTACAGCCTGTGATTGCATCATGGGTACACAGAGTTTGCTGATCTTTTTGCAACATTTTTATTTGAATGTTTTTTTTCTCTATGCAGTTTCTCACGGGGCAAACACACTCAGAGCAGACATCACTGGTGGACACACGGACAGTGCCCTTAGTACTGGCTCACACCCAGTCACACTTGGAAGTCAATCATCGCCTTATGCTACCCCTGTTAGTACTAAAACAGAGCTTAGAGCAACCAGAGATCACCATGTGGTGGATGTACATCAACAGAATACTGTGGTACCACCCCCACAGCAGGCTCATGCTCGCAATGAAAAACCAAGTAAGCTAAATTAATATCCTTTACGCTTCATGCACATTTATACGATGAGGCTGCAGCCAGCTGTGTGTTGTGGTATAAGTTTTAGTAGACATCTTTAGCATGTATGTTTTGTTTTTCCAAAGTAGTCCATGTGATAATACTCTAGAGAACTGTTTCATTCAAATTTAGTGCGTAATTCTGTAAGCATAAATTATGAAAAGACAGAGCGGTAACTTAATTGGAAAAAAAGAATATGAGCTATCTACATATGCACAGTGGACCATGTGCAGCTTGCAGGCAAAGATCAGGTGCTGTGGTGAGAGGCTATGTCTTTCAGCGCCTTTTCATCTTTAGCCCAAAAAAACTTTGTTCTATGTTTTTCTCAACCCTGGGCACTAACAACAAAGTGCTATAGGGTTACACTGTCTTGGTTGGGTGTTTTATTGTGTTTTAATCTCAATAGTATTTTCTTGTACTTGAAAAGCCTAGTACAGCTGTATAATTATGTGTGAGTGGATTGCCTAGCCTGTGTACAGACTTCCCCCCCTTCCTCAGAAAAATTTTTTTCTGAGAGAGGGGGGACGTCTGTACGCAGGCTATGGGTTGCCTAATGCTACTCTTTGTCTTCCTTATGTAGTTTATAATCAAACTTACTTAATGTAGATTGTGGTCGATATTTGTAACTCTGTTTAAAACAAATACTTGCTCAATGGCACCAATTCTCTCACCTGTCCTAAAGTGAACAGTATGATTATTACACTTGGTCTCCCAGCATAACAGGCATTGTCTTGTAGTTCAGTGTGGTGATGGGATTTTTTTTCCTTTCCTTTTTTTTTTGTGTTCGGCAGGGTCTTCCACTTTTCTAATTAACTTTTAACCCATTCGCTCCTGGAGATTTTGCCGAAAAACGCGTTTTGAAGCTAGTCGAGTGGTTCTCTGGTCACTGTCGTGCTATAAAGAGCTAAAACTTACCACAAACTGGTTTACAGGTCGAACACTTCGCGGCCTTCTGATCCAGATGCAAAATATCAGCTTGCGAAGTTTGGGCATGCGCAGAAAGCAAAATTTTCGTTTTGGGGTTTAAAAAAGACACAGCAGTCTTGACTTTTACTTTTCGCTTTCTCTCCTCCCTTCTTTTTTTGCTTTTCTTGCCTCATTTTTTTTTTTCTCTTACTGGGCATTTAGTAGGCTTGATTTTGGTGGGAAGAGTTTTTAGGAAAGCTTTTAGGATCTTAGGATTAGGCGAAAGGAAAGGTAGGTGGGTAATGGAACAAGATTTTCATGGAGATTTTCAGGTCAATGTCACGTGGTTTTTTGCTTGTTTCTCCGGTGCCCTTGACTGAATTGTGCTCATTCTGGTATGGTTTGAAAGCTCTCTTCACTCTGCACAAGTTAGTGAAGAAAGTTGTCCTTGACCGTTAAAACTGATGACGTCACAATGGGTAGAAAGGACCTGGATCCGCACGGGCGGGTACGGGCGGTTCAGGGGCGAATGGGTTAATTTGTTGTGCCAGTTTATATATATATGTATGGACCCCACCTGTGATCATCAATAATACTCTACTGACCCCCACCACCTCCCCCTAAGTTGATCTATAACAACCAAATTTCTGTCCTTGCAGGCACTGTTTCAAGAAAAATATTCAACACTCGGGACAGCACAGTGGACAGCATTCCTTATGATCATGACGAGAATAAATATCAAAGACGAGGAGCCATAGACTGGTTTACAAGGTGGTTCTGGTGAGTTTTAAATCCATCATGATTACAAGTTATTACAGCCAACCATTTAATGTCAGCACGATCTAGTGTTCTTACACGTTCGTATTTTGAGCGAGTTTTTTAGCTCCTCGACGTAACGTGTCAAAATAAATGATTGATTGACTGATGGAAGTAGTTTGCCTTCAAGTCTCCTCTTTGAAGACAATAGAGAAGGTACAAACTTTGAATGCAGTGATTTCTGGGATCATGGGTGTATAGTGATGATCTGTTGTTGGTATTCAAGGAAACCATTAACTAGTCATAAGTATAACGTTTCGGTCCACTCAAATGATCCCAGAAAATCGGTGGGCCGTAATCATGTACCCATTACCCTAAAAGTTCGTGGATTGGGGAATACATCTTACAGGCACTTATATTTCGCTCTTATGATCTAAGTTTCTTCAAAGTATGTCAACTTATGCAGGTTACCTGTGCACAGGCTCTTTGAATAAAATTATTAGATATTTTATTGTCGGGCCTAGATGAGAAGTAGATACCTTGCGATGCTTTTCCTTGTGGATTATCGTTGTGTAGTTAAAACCATTTCAGTCATAATGTAATACTGGCCAAAGGGAACCAGTCGCGAAAAGTGATGAAAAAAAATAGTTTTGTGCAAACGCTCTGCTAAAGAGATGTCATTTGAATGGTAACACCACAGGATTTTGTCAACAGATATTAAATTATTTTGGGTGAGAAATAATCTTGCCATTGCTTCGTCTAGGGGTGAGAAGGTTCATCGGAGTCGATTGTTTTAAGAGCAGGAATTTATCATGTTCATTTGATTCTAATTAAATAGTTTAACCTCTTTATTTTTCTATTTTCAGGTCTCGGAGAACTCGAAAGCCGGGTCCGGAGGATCCAAATGCGTCATTAAAACGTACCACTATTATATTAATCATCCTTATCCTCGGTTTCACCACTCTTGTGGTACTGTTCACACGAGTTGGGCGCGGAATAGCTGATAAAGACCCATTTCTCGACCCTATGGCGAATCCCAACATAAGAGTCGGAGACGCCAATATTAAAAGCGCATAGAGCTCTTGTATTTTACAATTAAATTTCCAGGCCCCAGTTGTTTTTAAGCTGGATAGCGCTATCCACCGGATAAATCACTATTCAGTGGTTATGTGTATCAGGGAGCAAAAAAGAGATTTATCTGATGGATAGCGTTCTTCACCTTTTGAGTAACTGGAGCCATGCAGATACACATGAAAAGTTCAAGTATAAAATAAAGAGCACGCATCTTTGGCTTTGTGGTGAGCCAGCAGACGGTGGCATATTTTTGTCGGTTTACTGAAGATTGCGTGTTAGAATTTTATCTAGAGAAAGAGTAGCGAGACTGGAATTCCGCGTAATCTTTTCTGTCTCAAATCCGGCCAATAATGGAAAAAATGAAAGTACTTTATAAATAGGTTTAATTTGAATGGTCGGCACACTCTGGATTTTTATGTACAGACTTAAAAGTTAAAACTACGTTGTTTTCCTCCTGTGCTACTATTGAAATATAAATGAGTCATGTATTTGTCGTATTTACCGTAGAGTAGACTTTTAATGGTTCAGGAATTAGTCGAAGAAGTAAATAAATGCTGTTATTATACATTGTACTCATTATCTGTCGTCTCACTGGCTTAGAGCCTACGGTTAATTTTGAAAATCAGCGCCACCTACAGATTGGTCAGTTATCTGTAGTTTACGTGCGCAATACATTATTTCCAAGAACAATGTCAAACTGTGTTATCTGTGATGTGTTGTACAGTTGTTATTTTCTTACAAACAATGTGTAATAAAACATTTTAGATTCGGTTTTTGTGATATCCAGAATAATCAAGGGTTCGCGGTAAGTGTTATCAGTTGAGTCGAAGGGCGAGGCTGAAAACACTTTCCTCGGCCTGGATAACTCCGGATATAGCGAAAAAATAGCACCAGTTCTGTGGGCTACCTCGGCAGAAGCGAGGTCCCATTACCCCCTGCGCGCCTTTGTTCCTATCCCCAGTCCTCTAGTAGGACAGAGAGGCACCCTCCCTCTGAAAAACACCCTCCTCAAAAGAGTACTTGTGCCATAATCACCCCTCTTAAAAATAATAAATTATAAATACCGCAGATGCTTTCAAAACTAACCCCATCACTCATATGTATGAATCAAGGCAACTCACTCTCGTTTTCAGTTGATGAACATAAAAACGTTTTATTAATCTCTAACTATATTTCTACTCACTGAACTCAAAACGATAAAATACGCAAGCTAACTGACAGCTGTCTCTATTCTTGTCGCAATACGACCTGTGCATTACACAGTTAAGCGCAAACCAGTCCTAGGATTGTGGGTAATCTTTCACCGGCATTCTTTGCCATTATTTTTCTTGAATCGCTCCCATCCTCCATCAATCACTTGACTCGTTGTGAAACGAGTCTTACATTTGCTTTCTCCTGTCTCCGTTTTAAGAAATGATTATCCTTAGAATTACTTTCCCTGAAAAAGAGAATAAAACAATACAGTGGAAAACTGTACATGTAGCTTAGAGGGCCTCCAAAGTGGTGAACTCTGTTTGAGAGGCAGACACTGTGATTGGTTGAGCCGCGATAAGTAACTTATTTTAGTGTATTAGAAAGAAACAACCATGGTGCAGGTTGAGAAGTTGGTCGCGGAGTTGGTCACGTATTGACAGCTGACGTTATCTGGATCTGGATTGGTTAGGTCATTGGTGGGCGGAATGCAAAAACACCGGCTCTTATAGCAGGCGCCCCCTTTCCTTTTCCCTTTCGCACTTTTGTCCCCCTCCCCTTTCAGTCGCGCCGCAGGCTATTAACAAATTTGGGATAAAGTCGATGTACATAGGACTGTATAAGACTCTAAATAAAGCATTGTCTTGTCTTGTCTTGTCTTGTCTAATAACGAGTGACTCACCTCCCCCTCCACCCCCCCCCC